GTACCTCTTCCTCCTTGCGATCATCGTAGGTTTCCTTTCATTCTCCGGAATCACCGCTCGTCCTTGCAAAACCTTCCTCATCTCCTCCTATTCCCTCTCCATAACCCCAGAAGAAAACCCTAATCCCGATTCCGATTTCTCCTCCACTCGATTCGTCACCGTATTCACCATCCGCCGCCTCAGTCCTCACCATATGGTCCCTTTCTTCGTCAATCGCCGCCAGGGATTCCTTCCTCCGGCCGTAGAGAAGCCTCAGATCCATCCCCAATTATCTTTCCCTTTCATCTCCGAGAACATCAATTCCTTCAGAGACCGTACCAGAGACATCCTTAGCGTCGTGGTAGCTCTCTTATTCGGCGTTGGATGCGGTGCCCTAACCGCCGCTACTATGTATCTCGTTTGGGCTCTGGTCGTGAATCGTCATAGCTACAATTTCGAGGAAGATGATTACGAGAGCGATGAATCTGATGTAGCTAGCCTTAAGAAGATGGGTTACGTCAAGATCCCAGCTCCAGCTCCTGTCAAGGAAGCTGCTTAAAATCCGATTACCCAAAACAGTAAAACAAAATTCCTTTTGTGAATTCAGTTTCTGCATATGATTATCTCTGCTTTTACCTTGACGTTTGTGTATGTTGCTTACTACCAGTGAATCCAAGTCTTTCATGGATTTATCTAAACCTAATATACTGAATTATTATCAGTGCTTTACGATTATTTAAGTGTGATTATGATGTTGATTTCATGTTTGCAGATAGCTCCTATAGATTTTGTTCACTATCTTGATACCAATGTGGCTAGTTTAAGAGGTCATAATACTTGATGGTTTGATCATGTAGACTTTGTTTCGTCAAAGGAATCAGTGTCTTTCGACAAGTCGATTTCTTGTTGTTTGCCTGACTCGCTAGATACTAAGTAGGTCGCAGGTTGAGTATGATTCTCTCATTGATACAAATGATCTGTGTGTGATTTAACTGCTTTCAAGCATTGCATACTCCTCATTCGGCTTAGTTTCTTTTGCTTATAGTCATCTTTTTCTATGTCTAGAGAGTTGAAGCTTTGACGTTTTGAATGTGAAGTACCAATTAGGCAATCTTTAGTGTCTTGTGTTCTTTCTGGATCCATCTGTTCTTGGTTTTGCCCTTGCCCTATTCTAGTCTAGTTGCCGGTTTCTTCTTAGTCCTTTTCTATATATCATTTTGATTGTAACTTGTTTCATGTCATTCGTATCTCAGACTGAACATGCCTAATCCGTTCCTTGTCTTGGCATTGATTCCTCCTCCAAACCCCAATGTTTTGTAGACTTTTTTCTCTTTCTCAGCACGAGCGCAAAGTTTTGCTTTCAACCTGCCATACTCTTTTAATGTACTTTCATTTGATCTATTGAAGTCATTTGATTACGGGAACAGGTGTTGGATTCGTTTTCTACCGTAATTTCCTATCTTGGTCCAAGGCAGAATGTGTCGTGGCACCATGGTGTTTTCCTAAATTATCATTATATAGATTGACAACGACAGACAAAGGTGCATTATCACACAACAAAAGAAGAGTACAACAATAACAAGATGAGTTAACATTAGCTACAGTAGGATCTTATGTTTAAGACTTTAAGTTTCTGAGACCCAACTCGTGGATCATATAAACGTCTAAATGAGAGAAGCAAACGAAACAGACGGAGGATGAGGGGGCTATGCTGAAGAGATGGATCCAACTGTCTAGAAATGGGTCAAGTTCTGTGGAAAGGATCCGTTGCTGCCTTCGCCCATTTTCTGCACATCTTCCGGCGATAGTATCTTTATGTACCAAACGCTATTCACAAAGGACCTGCAAATATTCACCATTTCAATAACAGCTTTTTGTACTTCCAAATCTTGTCTGCGACAAGACATATGAAGAGGATAAAAGTACTAACTCCCAAGGATCATCGCCGAGAAGAAGTATATCATCCTCCTTGTCCACGAATACAAGCTGCCAGCCTGATCTAAAGGCGTCTTCCAACAACCCTTTGATATCAAACATTTTACCCAACTCTTCTCTCAGCTCATGATAGCTGCTAAACCGAGAGATGTCGAGTGAACGCCCAACCGAACCAGATTTATAAACCTGCACATAATCATGAACCATCACTATTACTGTTATACACCTACCACATGGATGAAAATACAAATTACTAAAACAGCACCTTAACAAAGTTCTTATTCTGTCCAGCCCCATGCAATAACTCGGGAGTGTCTTGCATGGACCCGTATAAAGAGTTCTGAAATCCAGAATCCGTTAATGGCATTGAGGAGGTGTCAGCATCTGCTGCCAAAGTACCAAAACGAGGGACAGTGGTGGGAAGAAACAGTCCAGAGTCCGAATCAACACCAAAAAGGGAGAGGTTTTGGGGATTGGGATTTGGAGGTTCCAGAGAAGAACTTGTTCCACCATAGGCTTGTCGAAGAGACAATGGCTCAGAAAAATCATTAGATTCAGGTTGAGAGTGTTTAAGAGACCAAACCTGTGTTGGTGATTGCTCAGCCTGTACACACTGACCAGTTATAGAGAAATTCAAGAGATTGCTACCATCTCCAGAGCCTTGAAGGGTTGAGTTTTGTTGCGGCACTGGATTAGCTGTTGTGAATTTGTTGTTTAAGTCTGTAAAATCTGATTTCATGAATGAAGGCGAGAGCAAATCCGAATGCTGCCACACACGGTCTGGTTGCTGTGGCTGCCCACCTAATTGGTTACTAACTTCTTGTCGCACATTCTGCTGAGGAAGATTCTCAGTCAGGATTTGGGTTTGCGCTTGCAGAAGATGGCGTGGAAGTTGCTGCTGTGATGATGCTTGGTGATGTTGCTGAAGCAGCAAATCAGAATTGTTGACGGCAGCAGATTGCTGAAGATATTGGTGGTTTGGCTCTTGGAGCTGAACAAACTGCTGTCTCAGAGGATCTCCACCTCCAACGTTCTGAAAACCAGCTGCCAACATTGCTTGGTACTGCTGATTCTGATCAGTGCCTAGTAAACTGAGATCCAGCCTCTGTTGCATCCATGGGAACAAACTAGCAGATGGATAATTTATGGGAAGCAAGCCATTCTCTCCAGCTCCACCCCTAAGCCACGTTAGGCCACTTGCTATGTCACCTCTGCTATCTGTACAGATAAAAAGCAGCGTTTACCCAGAGATATAGCTCTACTTTACTATC